TCAATCTGCCTGCCTGCTTTGCCTGATTTTGGGTAAAAGTTGCTCTTTTTTAAAATAAAAAATTCAATATTTACATGCATGGTGTGTTGTGAGTTAATTTTATGAGTTTGCTTGCTAGCAAATTTTATGAGTTTGCTTGCAAGCAAATTTTATGTGACAGACTCAGTAGCCAATGGCAGATAGAGAGATCTCTGAATGAATCTGTGATTCTGTGAGCAACTCAATCTGCCTGCTTTGCCTGATTTTGGGTAAAAGTTGCCCTTTTTTATAAAAAAATCAATATTTACATCAATATTTATAATATTTACATACAAGCCATGCCAGTCAGTCACATGACCACCAAGCCACACCCACAAATTAGGCCACGCCCACAGAACCAGTTAGTGGTCCCTGGGATCTAAAATTATGAGTTTGGTGGTCCCTGAGGTCCAAAAGGTTGGCGACCCCTGGACTAGATGACTTGCAGGGTCCCTTCCAACTCATTAATTTGTTTTCTTATGTTAATCTTATGACCGTTGCAGCATCTCCATGGCCACGTGATTTACATTCAGAAGTTTGACATCTGACTCACATTTATGACGGGGTCATGGGATCCCCTTTGGCTACCTTCTGACAAGTAAAGTCAATGGGGAAGCCAGATTCACTTAACAACCGTGTTGCTAATCTAACAACGGCAATGATTCACTTAACAAACGTGCAGGAAAAGTTGTAAAATGGGGCAAAACTCCTTTAACAAATTTCTCACTGAGCGACATAAGTATTGGGCTCGATTGCGGACATCAAGTGAGGACTACCTACCCTGGAGGCTACACTGTCATAGCCATAAAGTTGCACAGATTTGAGCTTCTTTACTTTAGTTTTTATTCTTTTTTTTTAAAGCATCTCTCTTTTCCTCTTCAGGCAAATCTGACTATTGTTATCACATTCTTGTCAAAGAGTTAAAGAGGTAGAAAGCCCCACACAGATGGGCAAGATCAAAGAAGCAAAACCTTCACAGATTTTACTGAGGTTTTGTTAATGCTCATCTGGGTAAATATAGACACTTAGAAAAGTATAAATGGAAGTTCGTAGCATTGTTTTTAGTAAGTCTCTTTGAAGTATCTGAAATCTTCTTCCCAGGTATCTTGCACCTGGACTCAATTGATGTTTATGAAATAAGCTGCCTATTGCCTCACCTACTATCTATTTTATATCTAACTTCCCTTTCCATTCCTCTTCAAACAGGGATGGGATCCGACTGGTATAACTACCAGTTCTGTCGCTCTGTGTCACACGAGTGCAATTTACGACCTGCTGAGCTGCCCGGACAGCTGAGCAGCGCTGCGTGCAAGTGTGCAGTGGTTGGAAAAGCCCTTTTTTCCTGCTTTTTCAACTGCAGCTGTGTCGTGCAAAGCAGCTGCGGTTGAAAAAGCAGGAAATAAAGGTCAGGTAAGAGCCCAGGCAGGCGGGTGGGCTAAAGCAGCAGCAGACATAGAACCTAGTTCTTCAGAACTACCAGTTCTACAGAGGTGGACAGAACTGGTAGAATCCCACCCCTGTCTCCAAGCCTCCTCACAATTTCTCACAACGCCTTGTAGATGCCGTAAATGTCCTCCTAACTTAGAACCGAGTTCTGATGTCCATTTCTAGACAGCAGAAGAATGTGGACTTCTTCATGTTCCATGATACCTGAGTAGAGTTTGCTACAACTAACTTTGATTTTTCTTTAGAGCTTTTGATAGATTTGAACCTTGTACAGTGGTTTGGATTCCCCTCATTGGATCACTTTGAGAAAAAGTGACAGAGAAATTTTGCTTGGTCTATTGGCAATTGCAATCTATCTTAAAGACAATCTTGATGGTGTGTCCTAGTGCAGTGGTTGCCAACCAGTGGGCCGGGGACCACTGGTGGTCCGCGACAAAATTTTGGTGGTCTGCAGAGAAATGTCACCCCCACAGCAATTAATCCAGGCTGCGCGGGAACACAAGGCTTACATCGCTTACATTGCAAACAACACAAGGTAGTTAGGGGAGGGGGGAAAGGACAGAGGGGGGGAACTTGCCCGACTCGCCCCACACACCTGGCCTGGCCACCGAGATGCTTCTTTCCGCTTCTTTCTTCTTCTGCTTTTGGCTGAACGCAAGAAAAGCAGTAAAAGTCTTTCTTTGTCTCCCCCAAACTCCTCCAGAAATGAGTCTTTGGGACCCTGCAAGAAATCCTGCTCCAAGAGGCTGTGCTGGCAAAGACTCATTCCTGGTGGAGTTTAGGGGAGAGAAAGAAAGACTTCTGATGCTTCTGCTGTTTTCCTTGCATGAAGCCAAAAGTCTTTCTCTCTCTCTCCCCCTGAGAATGGAGCTGGATATGGTATCTTGCGATCCCAAAGAAAGAATGATCGATCGGTAAAAAAACAGGGTGGGGAATTTTCCTGCAGACTTTTTTTGGGATTTTCCCAGGATCTCTGGTCCATGGGATTTACAATTATGAGTTTGGTGGGCCCTAAGATCCAAAAGGTTGGTGACTTGTGGACAGTCGCTTAAATATAAGCCAGCAAAAAAGAATGCTAATGGAATCTGTGGTTGCATAAACAGAGGGATAGATTCCAGATCATGTGAAGTATTAGTACTGCTTTATAAAACCTTAGTAAGATCATATCTGGAATACTTCATCCAGGTTTGGTCACCTCATTATAAAAAAGATGTTGAGACTTTTGAAAGAGTGCAGAGAAGAGCAACTCAAATGATTAAGGGCCTGGAGACTAAGACATATGAAGAAAGGTTGCAGGAATTGGTTATGTCTAGTCTAGTAAAAAGACTAGAAAACCTTCAAGGTCACTTTCAACTTGTATTATTTATTCTGTATTCTGTACCTGTCTTATGAATAATCTCTATGCAGTCATTTTCAACCATGTCAGTCATCAGATCCTAGCTATCTCAGAAAAAGCTAGATGGGGTTTAGCACTTGGATGGGAGATCTCTGGGAGATCCCAGATCGGTAAGCTACACTGTAAAGTTTAAAAGCAATCCTGAAGAAGATAATGGTTTACCAATAGTGTGACTAAAAAATTATGTTTCTGCATAATCCCTTAATTACCGATGCTAACAAAACAATACTTAGGATCATTCAGTGCAGATTAGAATTCAAATTGGAAAAGAGGTGCCAGATGTTCCAGCTGGCTTTAGAAAAGGCCAAGGAATACGAGGCATTACAGATAGTCCTTAATTTACAGAAGCTCATTTAGTGACCGTTCAAAGTTACAGCCACACTGACAAAAGTGATATGCCCGGTGGTGGAATTCAAAATATTTTACTACTGGTTCGACACACTTCACCCATGCGCAGAAGGCTTGCTACTGAACTTCTCCTGCAATCCTGCACTCTCCCTGTGTGTTAAACAGCTGGCGCATGGCAATCTGCTGTGCTGCGTGAAGCAGCTGAGCTTGAAAATCAGGAAATAAAGATCAGAATAGAGCTGGGGGAGGTAGGTGGGCAGGCCCAGCAACTGATCATCGGAGCGAACCCAGTTCGCTCACAGATGATCCTTAGAGCTACCTGGTCGGCCGAACCAGGCCGAACCGGTAGAATACCACTGCTGGATATGCCTGTTTTTCACACTTGTGACCGTTGCAACATCCCCATGGATAGATTACAAAAGGCGGGGGTTTGATCATATGGTTGCCTCTATCATTTTGACTTTTTTTTTTTTTGGGCCTCCCTGAAAGGAACAGGTCGAGTTCCAGAAAAGGATCCTACAGGAGCTTCAAAATAATCTTTTCCTGTCTCCTCATTAATGGGCATTATAGATTACCATCGCAGCTCAAAACTCTTTGCAGAGATGCTTACCCACGAAAAAGTTTGATCCATACCTTCACTCTAATGCTATTTCTTTTTAATAACCTAAACAGAGCAAGAATGATCCTAGCGATACCTATGATGAAGATAACCTAGCTGAGTGCATTGTCGATTTTTTTATAGCTGGGACAGAGACAAGTGCCACCAGTTTGCAATGGGCATTGCTTTTCATCACCAATCATCCAGATGTCCAAGGTGAGAGCCAAGTAATTAAAAAGGTGTTCTTCATCCCACAGGGAGGAATTTATGTTCTCTAGCAGAGAGTTGTAATCTCTCTTTGAATTCAAACAGGGTGGATAATGATAAATAGCTAAACAGTGTCACTCCTAGTGGCCAAATGGATAGATTATCTCTTGGGGGATCTGATTTTGTCCTGGCTGTTTGAGTCCCTTAGTGGTGAATTCCTTTTTTTTTTCTTTTTACAAATTTTATTAGGTACATTATTTAAAAACATTGAACATACTTCATACTTGACATATCTTTTGAATCATACTTGACATATCTTTTCGCCTTACATCTTATAATATATATTTATTATATACATTTATACATATTGAATGTTTTTACATTTAATTTTCCTTTAATACATCATTCAGTCTTCATGTAATCACATAGTCTCAGCTACCCCTTCTACAAATCCTGTTGCTCTTTTCCATTTTGAGTCCTCCCTTTCCATCCCCACCAAATCATATAATATTCTGACTCATCCTTGCATTTCATTTCTAAAGTCATTCTATCCATTCCAGCACATAACAAGATCTTATTTATCACTGCATCTTAACTTGGGATTTCTCTCGCCTTTCATTTCTGGGCAAACACCATTCTTGTTCTGACCCAAACCTTGTTCCAAGGAAACAAACACCAAACAGAGGTAAAAGCAAAACCTTTTAATGCTTCTCTGCGAATTCCATTCATTCACGGTTAAAAGGCCGTGAAAACTAATTGTCTCTGATAAGAACGAGCCTTGCCAAGGTTGTGCAAGGCTGCCAAGAACACTAGATTAAGTTGCCAAGAAATATTCAAAACAAAAAGTCTCCAAACACAAACCAGGATAGTACGAACGTCCACAAGGCTTGAAGTACAAGAACTTCTTTGCTTCCTGCAAAGAATCCTGGTTTCTCGGGCTGGCTTTTATCCCTTATGGGAGGGGCCATTACCTTGCAGCCTTACTCCTGAGTTGCCCATGCTGCTGCAGCTGCTCTTTCCTTCGAGCAGCCCTGCACACACACTCACTGGGCACAGGCTCCTCGGGGTCCTCTGCATCACTGTTGCCAGCCTCCACAAGCTCCAAAGGCAGCATTCCACTCCCTGATGGTCCTGGCCCCATCCCTGCATCACACACAGGCCCATCATCTGAATCTTCGCTCGCTGAGGCCTCAGCCGTCCGCACCTGCTGCCGGCGAGCCACAACAATTTTTGCCGCCATAATAACATGGATTATTAAATAGGTCTCTTCTTTGCTATATTTCTTAGACATAATTCCCAGTTTTAAAAAATCCTGTTTATAATCTATTTTTAATCGCATCATTTCTTCCCACCATGTGTGATAATATGTGTGTATTCCTGTTTCCCCCCTAATTGAGTGAATCTAACTTGCTGCTGTCCATCTTTTTCTTCTTTCTCTTTCCCCACCATGATAGACTTCTTAAGGGAGATCTTCACATAATGCATATCCAAACTATGATAGTTGGTCTAACCCCCTGCCTAAGTCAGGAGTCCTCGTACTATCCCGAGGATGGTCGTAAACTGAGTCATTATGACCGAACCAATTTTACAGCCTGTTTTGGGTGGCAATGGTTAAAAACCCCATTGTTTTCTGCAGAGCATTTTTGCCAAAAACAGGAAGTAAGTACCAGGAAGTTGGACAAATGTCATAAATTGTGGTCATGGGACCAAGGGATGCTACCAAGGGCTGTAAGATATCAGCTGGTTGCTGGATGCCTGAAATGCATCATCACATGATTGGAGGGTACGTGTGTCACCATTTCAGAATCAGGTTGTAGGTTTCTTTTGAGGGATCCACCGTAACTTGAACAGTCGCTAAGCAAGGATTACCTGTATTGCTTAAATTTTGATTTTTCAGCAGTTGGTCCTCAGTTAAAAGGAAACTTCTCTGTTGGCAAAAGTGAAACTACACAGGAGAGCCAGTTTTGTCTAGGCTAAAAAGCCGAAGGCTGTGAGTTTTAAGTCCCCCCTAGTCTAGGCATGAAAGTCGGCTGGTGACTTTGGGCGAATCACCCGGAGACGGTGAGTTCTAGTCCGGCCTTAGGCATGAAAGCCAGCTGGATGATTTTGGCCCAGTCGCTGTCTCTCATCCCAACTCACCTCACATGGTTGTTGTGGGGAAAATAGGAGGAGAAAGGTATGTGGGATGTGTTCACTGCCTCGAGCTAAAAATAATAATGGTGGGATACAAATTAAACAAACAAACAAATAAATAAATAAGTTAAAATCATAGCTAAAGAAACCAATTTGTTCTCTTATTTTTCCTCAGATAAAGTATACAAGGAGATACAAAATATTTGCCCCTCAGGCTTGATTTGCTATCGGGATCGAAAGAAACTGCCTTATACCAATGCTGTGATTCATGAGATCCAGCGGATCTATTATGTCTTAAGTTTTGGTATTGCCAGAAGATGCAGGAAGGATACGAACATGCTTGGTTTTTACATTCCAAAGGTACAGATCATTTATACCATTGCAGTCCTGTGTTGAACGGAGTTCTTTTAGATATGTGTTTTGAAGTTTAATAATATAATAATAATGTTCATAGATACTTAGATCTATCATATAGATACTTATAGATACACAAGGACAATTTTTCCCCGATCGACTCTGCTAAACAAATAATTCCCTCAACATTGTCCAACTATTTACAAAGTCTGCACTACTGTTACTATTAAACTTCTCATCACTCCTTATCACCCATCCCCTCCCACTTAACAGATAATCAGAGTTGGAAGGGACCTTATAGGTCATCTAGTCTAACCCCCCACCCAAATGGGAGACCGTACACCAGGGGTGTCAAACTTAAGGCCCGGGGGCCAGATCCGGCCCGCGGGGTGATTAGATTTGGTCCGCAGGGCCACCCTGGAAACAGCGAAAGACTGGCCTGTGGTGCCTCTGCCAGCAAAAACAGAACTCGGGTGGGCTGCACACCCTGGCAGAGGGTTACTTACAGGAGGCCGTTGCAGCCGAAAACAGAGCTCAGGAGCTTGTTTTCTCTGGCAGAGGGCTTGGGCCACTACAGGCACCCCTGACACGAGTGATGTTGAGCTGACCACATCCACTCTGGCCATGCCCACTCTGGCCCTCCAAGGTAAAATACAATCCTGATGCAGCCTTCAATGAAATCGAGTTTGACACCCCTGCCGTACACCATTTCTGACAAATGGCAGTCCAATCTCTTCTTGAAAGTCCCAAGTGATGGCGCTCCCACAACTTCCGAAGGCAACTTCTGTTCCATGGGTTGATTAGTTCTCACTGTCAAAATAAGTTTCCCCTTATTTCCAGGTTAAATCTTTCCTTGTTCAGTTTCCATCCATTATTTCTTGTCTGGCCTACAGGCGCTTTAGAAAATAGCTTGGCCCCTTCCTCTCTGTGGCAGCCCCTCAAATATTGGAAGACTGCTATCCTGTCTCCCCTGGTCCTTCTCTTCACTAGACTAGCCTTGTGACTGTATAACTTGTGACTGTATAACTATAACTTTGTCGCTTGTATCATTATGATTTATATGGACTGTTTCCTAGTATGATTTCATTGCTTATTGTACCCTATGACTATTATTAAGTGTTGTACCTGATGATTTTTGACTCTTGATGAATGTATCTTTTCTTTATGTATACTGAGAGCATTTGCACCAAGACAAATTCCTTGTGTGTCCAATCACATTTGGCCAAGAAAGAATTCAATTCTATTTCTATTTCTATTTCTATTTCTATTTCTATTTCTACTTCTACTTCTACTTCTACTTCTGTTCTATTCTATTCTATTCTATTCTATTCTATTCTATTCTATTCTATTCTATTCTATTCTATTCTATGGAATTTCTGACCTGGCACAGAATATGAAAAGTGAGATCTTCTCTTCCTTCTCCTCCCAAAGATCTGAAGAACAAAAAATTATAGTGTGCTAGCTATAAGTCATCATCAATTTGTATTGTTATTTGGGATGAAAGTTTAGACCCCCAAACCAATATTGGACGCTTCACATAATGCAGAGAAGTAAAATTTCAAAATATGTTGTGGGAACTAACATTTCAGTATGCTGTTCCAAAAAGAAACGTTGGACTCCAAAGCTGAAGAGAAGTTACGGATGCAAAATAAATGGCCATACGCTGATGTAAAATTATTTAACATATGACAATTCAGAATCGTATAGCCATCTTCAATACAACATTCAGATTTTCCATCTCTTATGACATGCCCATTTTTCACATGACAGTTGTAGCCTCCCCATGGTCGCATGATCCAAATTTGGATGCTTGGCAACTGGTTCATATTTACAACGGTTGTGTCATGCCCCTGTCGGAGTCTGAATCTGAGGAGGAAGACAAACAGCTGACAGGGAGTGGGAGTGTGGCTGTGGAGAAAACTGGGGAAAGGCAAAATCCGGCTGGGCAGAGCAGGGCAGAGATAGAACAAGGGAGAGGGAGTTCAGAGGAAAACCCAGGCCCACCCCCTCTTCATCCTAGGACACACAGGGAGGAACGGAGAAGAGAGCAACATGGTTTGCGTGGCTTATGGGGGAGGAAAGGGCCCTGAGTCCCTTCATTAGCCACACCTGGGAAGAAAGTTTAAAAGAAATGCAGGCTGCATGCATCAGCTTCTGGGAGCAAACGTGAGTTTATGTTGTGTTGTCTTTGCTTATCTGTGTTCCTGGTGTCTTCCCATCCACGTTGAGTTATTTCCACGCTTTCACTCTGGAATTCTTGCTCCTGCCCTGTCAAACTAATTACCTCATTTTGCCTCGATTGGACTTATAGTTACATTTTTTGTTGACCGCGTTTTGGACTTGATTCCCTGCAGCCAAAGGCTGTTCCTGGGAGAGTTTTTCTCCAGCCCAGAACGTAACCAGGGCATGGGGGGGCAAAGTTGTGGAGCTAATAAAGGGACTCCTACTGATTATCTGATTGTGTTGCCTTTGTGCCACGCCCTGGGTCATCACAGATTGCGGCGTCTTGATGAGATCACTTGGTCCCCTTTTGTGACCTTCTGACAAGCAAAGCCACGGGGGAATCCAGATTCCCTTCACAAACCTGTTACTATCTTGAACGACGGCAGGGATTCATTTAACGATTGTGGCCAGAAAGGTTTGTGAAATGGGACAAAACACTCTTAACAACTGTCTTGCTTAGCGACATGCATTTTGGGCTCAGTTGTGGTTGTGAGTCAACCACAATAGCTGTATCCAACGGTTAATAATTCTATTGTGAGCAGAACACCTAGGCTTGCAAGCATATCAGTGTGTCCATAGCTATGTCAACCTGGTATTTGAAGAGAGTTGAGAAGGCTTACAATGGTCTGAATTAGTTTCGTGCAAACTTGATAGCGGAATCAGAAAGGTTGGAAGATGGAAATGCTGGTTGTCAGGAAGCAACCAAACTATTATTGTACTGGTTGTTGTTTTTTCTTGGTCAATCGAATAATATCACTGCAACAATTTGATGGGGATGTTGACTGTCGCAAACACTGTCATTTCAGTCATATCCCTGAAACACATTCTGGTTAAGAATAGAATAGCGGCCTGTTTGACTGAGTTGCTTTTTCCTTACAGGGGTCTATAATTGTACCCGATCTCCGTTCAGTTCTTCTGGATCCCGTGCAGTGGGAGACCCCTGAAAAATTCAACCCCAATCATTTTTTGGACAAAGATGGAAATTTTGTGGTGAGGGAAGAATTTCTTCCTTTTGGAGCAGGTAAATAATGACCAACCCATGGAACAGAAGTTGCCTTCAGAAATTGTGGGAGCTTCATCACTGGAAGCTTTCGAAAAGAGAATGGACTGCCATCAGTCAGAAATGATGTAGGATCTGCTTGCGGGGGGGTTTGGACTAGATGACCTACAAGGTCCCTTCCAACTCTGTGAATCTGAGAGGGAGGGAGGGAGGGAAAGAGAGGGTGGAAGAGAAAGAGAGAGAAAGGGAGGAAGTGGGAGAGGGGGGGCGATTGTGGGAACTTCATCACTGGAAGCTTTCAAGAAGAGAACGGACTGCCATCTGTCAAAAATGGTGCACGGTCTGCTTGGGTGGGGGGTTGGACTAGATGACCTACAAGGTCCCTTCCAACTCTGTTAATCTGAGAGGGAGGGAGGGAAAGAGAGGGAGGAAGGGAAAGAGAGAGAAAAAGAGGGAGGGAGGGAGAGAGAAGTTGTGGGAGCTTCATCACTGAAAGCTTTCAAGAAGAGAACGGACTGCCATCTGTCAAAAATGGTGTAGTCTCCTGCTTGGGTGGAGGGGTTGGACTAGATGACCTACAAGGTCCCTTCCAGCTCTGTTAATCTGTATCCTGGAAATAGCATAAATAACATCTTGCTGTTTCAAAGCTTCCCTTGGGCAGCCTCTGAGCTCTGTCTTCATGGCTCTGGAACCGACGTGTTGCCACATGTTTCTTAAGATCAAACATATTACAGCTAGTCCTCGATTTATAACTATTCGTTTAGTGACCGTTCGAAGTGACAACATCACTGAAAAAAAAATGACTTAAGTTATGACCAGTTTTCACAATTAACAACCGCTGCAGCATCCCCATGGTCACTTGCTCCGAATTCAAGCGCTTGGTTACTGGCATGCATTTATGGTGGTTGCAAGGTCTCAAAGCCATGTGATCACCATGCATAACTTTCCCAGCTGGCTCCTGACAGACAAAACCAATGGTGAAGCCCAGATTTACTTAACAACTGCAAGAGTCACTTAACCACTGCAGTGACTGGCTTAACCACTGTGGCAAAACAGTCATAAAATGGGGGCACAGTCCCCTAGCTGTGTTGCTTAGCAACGGAAATGTTGAACTCAATTGTGGTCATAAGTCGAAGAGTATCTTCAGTGATAGAGGCAACTGCTCAGAACAATACATTGGTTAAAATATCTATAGAGATTCTCAGTCATCCAGGTCACGGTTGTCCCAAGGGTGTTTTTTCAGGAGGAAACTGGACCTCCTTGTTTTTTTTCCCTCTGAAGACGTTTTGCTTCTCATTCAAACAGCTTCTTTTGCTCTGACTGGACAGTGGGGAATGGAAGGATTTATACTCCTTGCAGACAACTGGTCATTTGCATTCTTTTTAGAGAGTCATTGAGGCCACTTGGAGGTTTATCTGTGTCCTCAGGGTCACCTGAGTAGTTCAAATGGTTCCTGTAGTCTGCAATTTTTCTGGAAATCTGTTCATACTCTCACACCATTAGAAGGGTGTTCATCCCAAATTGCATAGCTTAAAAGTCCATTTGCATCACTCCGGTGACCTTGAGGACACAGGCAAACCTCCAAGTGGCCTCAATGACCCTCTAAAAGGATGCAAATGACCAACTGTCTGCAAGGAATATAAATCCTTCCATTTCCCACCATCCAGTCAGAGCTGAAGAAGCTTCTTGGATGAGAAGCAAAAAGTCTTCTCAAAACAACAACAACAACAACAACAACAAAACAAAAACCAAAGTCCAGTTGCCTCTTGAAAAAGCACCTTTGGGACAATATATCGGTTAATTTCTTACTTGCTGCTGTCCTCTGTTTCCTCTTCACAGGGGTGCGTATATGTTTGGGAGAGCAGATAGCGAGAATGGAGATTTTCCTTGTCTTTACCAACCTGCTGAGGAACTTCCGGTTTCAGCTGCCTAAGGGAGTGAAACAATTCAGACAAGAACCTATAAGTGGACTTACAGTGCATCCCCATTCTTATAAAGCTTGTGCTATGCCCCGTCACAATTCTTTTTGAAAATACCCAGTGATAGTTGCTTATTTATTGCTGTGAATTTCTAAGTGTCTGATTGGACTTCAAACGGATCTGTTAAACGGTATTAATATGGCACAGCCAACTACAACGTCCTTCCATTCCCTCTAAACTCCAGGCACCGGAGTCAGGAATACCTTGATTCGTCATTCCCAGAATCGTTGTGCAGAAGATGGGAGGCTGGGCATCTCCCTTCTTGTGTTTTGATGCTTCACTTTGGAGTTAGAAAATAATGGGGGGAAAAGCTCCCACCCACAGTAGTATGATGGGGTTGAGACGACCATTAGCAGAGTTGGAGGCCATTCCAGGCCTGTTTTGACCTCTCACGTGGCTGCTACAAGATAACAATGGAAATGGCCACAAAGAGGGAGTGCCTAGAGATACCTTTTCGGGAACTGTCTATGACAGGCTTGTCAAACCGGCGGCCTTCGGGCTGGATGCATCACACACAGACCACACCCACCCAGGCTCGGCAAAAGCAAAAAAACATCGCAATACATCACACTATGTCATGTGACGTGATCGAGTTTCACACCTGTGGTCTATAGAGATTCTCAGTCATCCAGGTCATGGTTATACTAACGGTGCTTTTTTGAAAGGCAATTGGTTTTTTGTTTTGTTTTCCCTTGAAGACATTTCGCTTCTCATCTTCAGTTCTGACGGAATGCTGAAGGGTGGAAGGATTTGCATTCTTTGCAGTCGTCTGGTCGTTAGTACTCTTTCTGAGAGTCACTAAAGCCATTTAGATCAGGGGTCGCCAACCCTTTGGACCTCAGAGACCACCAAACTCATAATTTTAAATCCCGCGGACCAGAGACCCTGGGGAAATCCCTCCAAAAAAGTCTAAGGAAAATTCCCCAACCCTGTTTTCCTACCGATCGATCGTTCTTTATTTGGGATTGCAGGATACCATCTCCAGCTCTGTTCTCAGGGGGCGGGGGGAGAGAGAGAGAGACTTTTGGCTTCATGCAAGGAAAACAGCAGAAGTAGCAGAAGTCTTTCTCTCCCCCAAACTCCGCCAGAAATGAATCTTTGCTCTTGGAGCAGGATGTCTTGCAGGATCCCAAAGACTCATTTCTGGTTTGGGGGAGAGAAAGACTTTTGTTGCTTTCTTTGCGTGCAGCCAAAAGCAGAAGAAGAAAAGTGGAAAGAAGCAGCCCAGTGGCCAGGCAAGGCGCGTAGGGTAAGTGGGGGCAAGTTCCTCTCCTCCGCCCTTTCCCCACTCCCCTCACTACCTCGTGTTATTCACAATACAAGTGACGCAAGCCTTGTGTTCCTGCAGGCCATGTGAGCAGCACAGCGTTGTGTTCCCCACGCAGCCTGGATTAATTGCTTTGGGGATGACATTTCTCTGCGGACCACCAAAATTTTCTTGCGGATCACCAGTGGTCCGCGGCCCAGTGGTTGGTGACTATTGATTTAGAGGTTCATCTGTGCCCTCAGGGCTACCTCAATAGTGCCGATGGGTGCACAGAGAAAGTCCAGTTGCATTTTGGAAAAGCATCTTTGGGACCTTTAGGAAATTGTTCTTGCCAGAGATAGGGGAGCACTTCATCTGGCTTGGATGATATGACTAACCAGGGAGAGTTAGTCTAACAATCCCCTAAAGTTTCATCGTTCCGCAGAGCTCAATGTAAGCCCATCAGAGTTAATGAGCTGGGTCAATTGATCTAGTTTTTGCATGCCTATCATCTTCCCTTGGCCAGCTGGCCATGATGTGCAAACAGGGCTGTGTTTATGGTTCAAATGAATCAATGTCACCCAGCGTGATTCCAGAGAACCAGAGATACACAGCTGAGCCCACAGGACAACCTTCCGATCAAGGCTTAATTGTTGACCATTCCACTCTCCCAGCCTATGTCCATGCCAAGATGACTTTGTTGGCTATTTGGTCACCAGGTGCCTCGGGAAGGGATGTCACAGTCCTATTTGTTATTTTATAATCACAATTGTGATTGCTTTTAAGCTAATTTTCTTCGGGTGAAGAACATAGTATCTCATTTTTGAATTTGAGAAACAATTTTGAAATGCAGCATGATAATCTTGGCATATGAGCTGTGGTGGTTAGAATGCAGTATTGCAGTCTAACTCTTCTGACTGCTAGCAGTTCAATCCTATCCAGCTCCAGGTTGACTCAGCCTTCCAACCTTCCGAGGTTGGTAAAATGAGGATCCAGATAGTTGGGGGAAAATATGCTGACTCTGTAAACCACTTAGAGAGGATTGTAAAGCACAATGAAGCAGTATATAAGTCTAAGTGCTATTGCTACATAGTACAATTCTAGAAGTATTCCTTGTAATTCCAGGTCAGTGACACCCACAGGTAGCCACACCATTCTTCCTGTTGCATGAATGAAGTCACACGTAACATGTCATTAGGATTGTTGCTGGCACACAACTAATTGATTTCCAGAATACCTACTTCTAAACTACATTATTGCAGTCAAAACTGGACCAGAATTCAGGGCACACTGATCATTTAGTAGCAAGGAATTCTTCAAACAATGCTATATGTATTCATTAAACTAATCTGAGATACAAGCATCTTATTTACTTCATTTTATTTTAAAGTCTTCATCCACCGTATTACGATGTTCAGGATGATTAATTAAAGCCATCTTTAATATTAAATCTTAAACCAAACAACAGCAATGTTAAATTAAGCATGACGATAAAACAGAATTATTGTAACTTGAGTCCATCCACTCTGCTGCTAGCTTTTCCTCATCTCCTTCCTGTTTCCCCGACATTTTAGACTTTTCAGGAGAGCTGGGTTTGCACGTGATGTAGCCAAAATATGATAATTCAAAGAAATCAAACAAGTTTAAAAGAAGTTTAAAAAAAAATAGAAAAGCAGCAAAGATGATAAAGGCTAAATTGTATGATGGTTGAAGGAGCTAGGTACAGTATGTCCAGCTTATCAAAGAGAAGGCTTAGGGGAAATATAATAACTTCCAATAATCTTCCAATAATCTTCCAATACTTGAGGGTCTGCCACAGAGAAGACGGTTTGTTTTATTCTCTAAAGTATCAGGACAGAGAAGGCAGGACAAGAAGTAACACGTGGAAGATCCACGCAGAACTTAGGAGAATTTTCCTATCAGAAAGAACAGTCGATACTACAAGCCTACTACAAACTGAGGTGGCAGCCAGGATCAACGCAGCGTGGGGCAAATGGAAGTCCGTCACGGGCGTCCTCTGTGACAAGAAGATGCCGATGCGCCTGAAGGCGAAAATCTATAACTCTGTGGTGCGCCCCGTGGCCATATACGGCGCAGAGTGCTGGCCGACGACCAAAGAAGTCGAAAGCAGACTCCAGACAATGGAGATGCGAATGCTCCGATGGTCGGTAGGCCTCACCCTACTCGATCGCGTCAGGAATGAAGAAGTGCGCAGACGGTTCAACGTCGTGCCCATCCCCACGGTCATGAGGCAGTCCCGGCTACGATGGTTCGGCCATGTGAGTCGCGCCAAGGAAGAATCCATCATCAAATCTGCGATGAAGGTGATTGTCGGAGGAGCGAGACCGCGTGGTAGACCTAAGCAACGCTGGATGGACACGATCAAGGCCGATCTAGAGATCGCGAAGGCAGACCCGACATACGTGGCAGACAGAGAGGCGTGGAAGCAGTACTCAAGGACATTAGCGGACCTCGCCAGAGCGCGAGACAAACGCTGAAGAAAAAGAAGAAGAAGAAGAAGAAGAAAGAACAGTCGATGGAATGGCTTATTTCCAGAAGTTGTGCATGCGCCATCACTGAATGTTTTTAAGAAGAGGTTGGACAGCCATTTATCTGAAATAGTATAGGGTCTCCTAGCTCTAGCAGAGGATTGGACTTGAAGAGCTCCAATAGTCCCTCCCAACCCTAAGATTCTGTGTTTGAATGATTTTTTAAAACATATTTTATTGTGTTTTACTAATCCAGGTGAAATGGGTAATATGTAAGCTAGTCCATGTATGATATGTTTAAAAATAAATATGTTCTAATTATAAATTTAATCTAAGGTTAAAACACAACACCTTTCAGTAATCTTTTCTATAATCATCAAAACCATAAATCATAAGGTCGTTTTTTTCTGTTTCATGCAAAAAAAAAGTCTATAGGGGTTTTCAGTCAACAGACTGATAATGTGTGTGATCTTCGATCTGAGGTTTAGGCAACTTGACAAGTTCCATCAACTTCACCAACCATTCCTCCATTCTGCTGAAAGTGCCAAGTGCTGAATGTTTCCATCTTTCTGCATACAGCAATGCTGCTACTAGTTGTCATGTACAAAAACTGTGATGAAAACCCTAAAAAAATGCTATTTGGATTGCTGGGATTGATGATAGATGATCTCTCATGAACAGAGGCACTGGATTACCTAATGCAACAAGGTTGAGAAACCAGTTAAATTTTAATGATAATTGCATTGTAAAGAATTACGCTGCTTGATGATTATATCAGTTGATTATATTAGTAGCGGAAGTTCTCTATGTAAACAAAGGTCCTTTATCATGCTATGAAGGTTGATCACTCATTAATGTAATAATAGAGGTATCATCCTCACCATGAATAGCTACTGGCATTGACAGAATGTCACACTGAAATGAAAGCCTCATATTTTTTGGTTTCTGAACATAAAATAAGTCTTGGCTGAATTGAGCCACTCTGGATAGAACTTTAGGTATATCTGTAATTTGTAGTTTTAAATGTTTTGTTATGGAATCATAGTGTGTGACTTGGACCACATGCAAAATGTTATAAGTAGTTCTCAATTTGTAAGTACAATTGAGGCCCAAATTTCCATTGCTAAGCTCCATTTTACCACCTTTCTTACCACAGTTGTTAAGTGAATCATGGCAGTTCTTAAGTTAATAACAGAGTTGTTAAGTGAATCTGGCTTCCACATTGACTTTGCTTGTCAGGAGGTCACAAAAAGGGATCACATAACTTTGGGACACCACAACCATCATAAATATGAGCCGTGCGGCCA